ACCCCAAACCCCAAACCCCAAACCCTAAACCCCAAACCCCAAACCCTAAACCCCAAACCCCAAACCCCAAGCCCCAGACCCCAAACCCCAAACCCTAAACCCTAAACCCTAAACCCTAAACCCTGCAGACCCGAGGCTGAAGTAGTTGCTCATGAAGAAGGTTTTTTTGAGTTCGCCGCCGTGGCGGTCGGGGCCGAGTTGCTGCAGCTGCTGCGCTGCAGCACTAAAAGCCCTAAACCCTTTTTTTGCTGCTACAGTTATTTTCCAGCAGTCGTGCTGCGCCAACACGGAGGACTCCAGCGTGTTCAGCAGCCGCGTGAAGCTGCAGCAGCGCCCGCAAACCCCAAATTAGGGTTTAGGGTTTAGGGCTAGGGTTTGGGGTTTAGGGTTTGGGGTTTAGGGTTTAGGGTTTGGGGGTTTAGGGTTTGGGGTTTAGGGTTTGCGCGCAGGTCGAGGTCTAGGGTTTAGGGTTTATCGTTTTTAGGGAGTGGGTTTAGGGGCAGGCTTTGGGCTCTGGGCTAGGGTTTGGCAGTTGAGGGGTTTCGAGGTTTAGGGTTTAGGGTTTAGGGTTTAGGGTTTGGAGCAGCCCGGCGGCTGCAGCAGCAGCAGAACTTTCCAGAAAACGGCGCAACACAGACAAAACACCAAACTAATTAATTAATTTAATTAATTAATTTAATTATTTATTTATTTATTTATTTATTTGTTTATTTATTTATTTATTTATTTATTTATTTATTTACTTTTTTCTGCGGAGAGGGTTTTTGCGGGGAAAACTCGCGCGGGTCCAGCCGTAAGAATTGGCCCAGTCGTTTCCCGTGCCGGAGGGCACAATGCCAGCAGCAAGGAAGTTCAAATTAATTTTTTTTTTATTTTTATTTTTATTTTTATTTTTATTTTTATTTTTATTTTTATTTTCTTTTTCTGAACTTTCTGTCATTTCGAAACTCCGCAAAGCCTCCAGCATTCCGTTGAAGGCTCCGTCGCCTCCGACGGCAATAACTCGCACGCGGTCCGCGAGCGGGACTGCTGCTGCTCCTGCTGCTGCTGCTGCTGCAGCAGCAGCAGCAGCAGCAGCAGCAGCAGCAGCAGCAGCAGCGGCCTCCTCGGCGCCCGCAGCAGCAGCAGCAGCGCCCGCGCCGCCGGCCGCAGCAGCAGCCCGCGCCTTCTGCAGCTTTGCTGCTGCCTTTGCTGCTGCTGCTGCTGCTTCTGCTGCTTCCCGCTGCTGGCGGCCGAGGTGCAGCAGCTCGCGAGTTGCTGCTGCTGCTGCAATGCAGCGCAGCGCCAAAGACATGGAAGCTGCGTCTTGCTGCGAAAAGACCATCACGCTGCTGCAGCCAATTGCTGCTGCTGCTAATGGCAATCTTTTCAAAAACTTCTCCCCAAGTCGATCCCCAGAAGTGGGATTTGCAATGAAGAAATAAAGACTTGTGTCCGCCCCACAGACCCACTTTGCTGCTGCTGCTTCTGCTTCCGCCACGCTCCGCGGCGGGCTCCGCACTGCTGCTGCTGCTGCTGCTGCTGCTGCTGCTGCTGCTCGCGACCGCGCCCGCCCCGCAGCTGCACCCGGAGCTGCAGCAGCGCCTGCAGCAGCAGGCGCTGCAGCGGCTGCTGCAGCAGCAGGCGCTGCTGCAGCTGCTGCAGCGGGCGCTTCAGCTGCTGCTGCAGCGGGAGCTCCGCCCGCAGCAGCAGCGCCGGCAGCAGCAGCTGCTGCAGCAGCCGCTTCTGGGGCCGCTTCGCGGAGCGCGGCGGCAGAAGCAGCCGCAGGGCCAGCCGCAGCAGCAGCAGCAGGAGCAGCTGCAGCAGCAGCAGCAGCAGCAGCAGCAGCAGCGGGATCCGCAGGCCGCGCTGCAGCAAAAGAGACGCCGCCGGGGGCCCCGAAAAACGGCAAAGAGACAAAAGGAGACAAACTCAAATAAAGAAAGATTAGAAGGAAAGAAAAGGGAGAAAAGGGGGGCCCCCGAGGCCCCACGAGGGAGCCACGCTGCTGCTGCGGTGCCCCCATGGTCGCAACTGCTGCATTAGAGGCCCTGCGCGACCTTTTGGCCGTTTTGGACCTTCAAATTCGAATTATAAATCAAAATAAAACAATAAAAGTGGAAAAATGCGGAAAAACGACGGAGAAAAAGCCCCAAACGCGACAGGAGGACCCCCGGAGCCCCCGAGCGATGCTGCTGCTGCGGCACCTCGAGCGGTCGAGCCCAGGACCTTTTGCTGCAGATCTGGGTCCAATAGAAAGACAAATTCAATTTATTTTCCAAATAAAACAGTTTTAAACTTTTATTTATTTTATTCGGCGCAAAACGCGGCGGCAGCCGCCGCGCCGCCGCGCTGAGGTGTACGTACACCCCAGGAGCGGGAACGAGCCACGCACAGTTAGCTGCTGCTGCTGCTGCTGCTGCTGCTGCAACAAATTTCTTCTTTTTGCATTTATTAATATTAATATTTGATTTATTTTCCTTTTTATTTCAAATTAAATTCAGAAAACAAAGAAAAACCCGTTTGCAGCAGCAGCAGCCACTGTGCTGCAGCAGGACTCTTCGAAAAAGACTTTCTTTTCACTAAACTGCAAACAAAAGAACTTCTTAATGCCATTTGAATTTTATTTCCTTTTCGGGGATTTAAAACTACCAAAGCTGCAGCTAATGGCTTCGACGGCGCGCGCCTACAAGCAGCAGCAGCAGCAGCAGCAGCAGCAGCAGCAGCAGCAGCGGGAGCAGCAGCGGCAGCAGCGGGAGCAGCAGCGGCAGCAGGAGTAGCGGAGCATAGGCAATAACGAGCAGAAGCAGCAGAAGCAGCAACTGCAGCACTAGGGTCCTGGCATATACCCAGAAGGTCCGATTGTTTGCTGCTGCTGCTGCTGCTGCTGCTGCTGCTGCTGCTGCTGCTGCTGCTGTCTGTGCTACTGCTTGTTCTATGAAAGTGCAGCCGCAGAAGGGGGTGCTGTTTTGCTGCAGCTGCTGGCGCTGCAGTTTGATTCCTTGCTGCTGGAACTGCCCTGCTGCTGCTGCTGCTGCTGCTGCTGCTGCTGCTTTTACCATTGCTGTTGCTGCTGCTGCTGCTGCTGCTGCTGCTGCTGTCGTTGCTGCCCTCTAGCCACGCAGCAAAATCTGTGGGGCTTTTGTGCGCTGCTGGCCCTCCGCATTTAAGAGAAATAAAAGGCATTTATTTGCCCATTGAAGAAGTAAAGGAAATAAAAGAAATTAAATAAATTAAATAAATTAAATAAAAAAGAAAAATAAAGGAAATAAAAGGCATTTACTTTCAAAAAAGTAAAATAAATAAACTAAAAACAAACAGAAAACATCCCTTAGTTCTTCAACAACAGTCAAGTTCACTAAAGAGGGCTCCAAGGGCTCCCTGGCGAGGCTTTAGGGTTTAGGGTTTAGGGTTTAGGGTTTAGGGTTTAGGGTTTAGGGTTCAGGGTTTGGCTGTGGGAGCAGCAGCAGGGAGGTTCTGGCGCGCTGAGGTGCTGAGGTGTACAGACACCTGGAGTGCATGCATGCACTTTAAAAAGCAAATCTGATTTTTAAGAAAAACGAATTTAAATAATTTTCTTTTTTGCCATTAATATAAATATATATATATATATATTTATGACAAATATAAATATAAATAAATATATTACACATTTAAATTCATATATTTACATATATTTTAATATATATATTAAATAGATATATGTAACATATATATATATATATATATATCTATTTATATTTATATTTATTTAATTTTGAAATATTTGAGCTGATGGGGCTTTTGGGATATTTGCATTTCTTTCTTTTGCCCCTTGAGATTAAAATTTGAAAGCTGAACACCCCGCGGGCCCCTCTGTCTAAAGTGCAAAGAAGCAAAAGCTGCTGCTGCTGCTGCTGCTGCTGCTGCTGCTGCTGCTGCTGCGCTGCTGCTGCGCTGCTGCAGCAGAAGCTGCCGCTGGTGCTTACCGCCCAGACAGCGCGGGGGCTCAGGTGACGGCGGGGTGCCGCCGGGGCGGTCTAGAGCTGCGGAAAGGGGGAAAATGGCGCAAAATGGATTAAATGGATTAATTTTTGAAAATAAAAACAATTAAATTGCAAATTAAACTCCATTTTGCACTGGCTTTCGCCGGCGGCCCGCGAGCGCGGGCGCAGCGGCCATCTGCGGTGTATCTGCAGGTGCTCTCGAGTGTACGCGCAGCTTCTGCGCGGAAACTGCAGTCCCACGCGTTAAAACTTTGAATTTATGCATCATAATTGAAAGTTGGGAGAAATTAAAAGTTATTTTTTGAAAAAATCTGCATTTTACCGCGCCGTTTCAATAAGCTTCCGCGCAGCCCTGCGGTGTACGGACACCGCGTGCCAGTGGTCGCTGTGGCTGCGGCGGCGCGCCTCCGTTCAGTTTCATTTTCGGCGAGTTTTCGCGAATTTTCCTTTTTAGATTTAGTTTTGGAATTAAATTTCGTCTTTTATTTCCCCAAAGAGCAGCAAATCCCGAAAGAACCCGCCCAGCGGCCCTCCCCGCGCTGCAGCCATCCTCGGCGGCTTCTGCTGCGCCCGCGCGCGCCTTCGGCCACTTCCACTTCAATTTGAGACATTAAACCCATTTTTAATCTTTTTTTTTCTCTTTTTCTCCATTTAAAACCCTCAAAGGGCCCCCCGGACTCGAAGGGGCCCCCCAGCGCGCCGGTAGCAGCAATCGAGGGCCCCCGGGGCCTCGGAGTTCATGGCGAACAAGGCCGCAGCAGCAGACGCAGACGGCAGCAGCCGCGCGGAGGGCCAGAGGGCCCCCCCGAGGGTACTGGGGGGCCCCCCGAGCCCCTGTTGCGCTGCTGCAGGGCCCCCGGGGGCCCCCAAGCTGCTGCTGTCGCCGGAGGGCGGCCTGGGGGGCCCCTGGGGGCCCCCCTCCGAGTGTACAGACACCTCGGGGCCCCTCGAAGACTGCGCATGCATTCTACAAAGCCCCGAAAATGGGCCCTGCTGCTCCCCGGGGGCCCTTTCTTCCAGCAGCCAGTGCAGCACAGGAGACCCTCCGTCGCTTTCTGCTGCTTTTCTTTCTCCTTCTTCTCCCCAGCATTCAAACCCCTCAGCAGCCGCTGAAAGCTCCCCTCCAATGCAGGGGGGCCCCCCGGGGGGCCCCCTGGGGGCCCCCCTGGGGGCCCCCCTGGGGGCCCCCGGGGGGGCCCCCGGGGGGGCCCCCGCGGGGGCTCCTCAGGGGGAACCCGAGGGGGCCCCCGGGGGGGCCCCCAGGGGGGCCCCCATCGGGGACTCCACGGGGCTGTTAGGAGGGGGCCCTTGGAATTTCGCTCCCCTTGAAGATCTGCAGCAGCAAAGGGAAAGGCTTGGGGAGGGGCCCCCCAGCGGGGGCCCCACAGCAGCAGCAGCAGGGGGCCCCCCAGTTGTACCTGAGGGGCCCCCGGGGGCCGACAGTGGGGGGGCCCCCACAGGGGCCCCAAAGGGGGCCCCTGGAGAAGCTCTTGGGGGCCCCCCTGGGGTTTCTTCACCAGAAGATCTGAAGTTGCCTCCTGAAGAAACCCCAGAGGGGCCCCCAGAGGGGCCCCCAGAGGGGCCCCCAGAAAGGGCCCCAGAGGGGCCCCCAGGGGAAGCTCAAAGGGAGGCCCCAGAGGGGGCCCCAGAGGGGGCCCCAGAGGGGGCCCCAGAGGGGGCCCCAGAGGGGGCCCCAGAGGGGGCCCCAGCGGGGCCCCCAGGAGATATGCTAAAAGGCAGCCTGGGAAGGGCCCCTAGTGAAGGGGACTTGACGGAAGGGCCCCCAAGGGGGGCCCCTGAGGGGGCCCTAGAGGGGCCCCCTGAAGCAGCAGCAGAGGGGCCCCCTGGGGGGGCCCCAGGAGGGGCTAAAGAGACCCCCTTGGGGTCACCTGAGGGGGCCCCTGCTGCAGAGGCCTTGGGGGCCCCCTTTGCTGCCACGGGGGCCCCCAGAGGGGCTCCTGAAGAGGCCCCAGAGGGGGCCCTTGGGGGGCCCCCCCTTGGGGGCCCCCCCGCTGCCCTTGGGGGCCCTCTTTATGAACCCCTGGGGCCCTCTGAAGCATTAGAAGCAGCAGCAGATGGGGACGAAGGAGCTGCGGTTGAGGCTTCCGTTGCTGCTGCTGCTGCTGCTGCTGCTGCTGCTGCTGATGCTGCAGCTGCTGCTCCTGGGGACAGCGAATTGGCAGGGGGGCCCCTGGGGGCCCCTGGGGGCCCCCCCGGTTTGGCTGTGTCTTTGCTGGCCCCGCCTTCAGAAGACACCAAAAGCCGCAGCAGCAGCTGGAACGGCCGCAGCAGCAGCAGCAGCAGCAGCAGCAGCAGCAGCAGCAGCTTCTTGCACGCGTTTTACTCGCGGCAGCGGCAGCAGCAAATAGAAGAGTTCAAGGGCCGCTCGGAGGCGCGGCAGAACATGGCGAGGTGGAGTCGTGCTGCTGCTAGGAAGGCTCCCAACAGCAGCAGCAGCAGCAGCAGCAGCAGCAGCAGCAGCAGCGGGAGAGCCAGCGTGCTCTCGCGCTTTCTGCGCAGCTCCACGCTGGAGCAGCAGCAGCAGCAGCAGCAGCAGCTGCTGCTGCCGCTGAGCCGCTCGGTGTCTTGCCTGGACGGAAGGTCAGAGGCGGAGCAGCAGCTGCGGCAGCAAGAGGAGCGGCTGCAGCAAGAAGAGCAGCAGCTGCAGCAGCAGCAGCAGCTGCTGCGGCAGCTGCAGCAGCGGGCAGCAGACAGGCCCCTGGGGGCCCTCGTTGCTGCTCGCTCTCAAATGCTGCAGCGGGAGCAGCAGCAGGACGCTTCTTCTCGCCGCTGCTGCGGCCGCGAGGCCTTTGCTGCTGCGCCTGCGCTGCAGCAGCTGCAGCAGCTGCAGCAGCAGCAGCAGCAGCAGCAGCAGCAGCAGCAGCGCGAGTCCTGGCGCCTCTCAAAACTGGGCAGCAGCAAAGGCAGGAAACGCATGCACAGTCTTCCCGCACGGCTTACAGTGTGGGGCGCCTACACTGCTGCTGCGGATGCCCCCCCCGCTGCAGCAGCAGCAGCAGCAGCAGGAGCAGCAGCAGCAGCAGGAGCAGCAGCAGCAGCAGGAGCAGCAGGAGCAGCAGGAACAGAGTCTCCGCGGGGTTTGCTGCGGAGCAGCAGCGGGACCGTGTTTGTGGGTGCGGGTTCGGACTTGGAGTCGGTGGCTGCTGCTGCTGCTGCTGCTGCTGCGGAGGCGGCGGCGCAGCGCGCAGCAGCAGCAGCAGCAGCAGCAGCATTTCGACAGTGCGTAGACACCTTTTTGGCCCTCAGAAGAACAGCAAGTGACTCTTCGCTCTGCAGCAGGAAGAGGGGCCCCTTTGCAGGGCAGCAGCTGAGCAGCAGAGCTGGAGTGCAGGAGTTGCTGGAGCGGGCTTTGGACGTGGGCGCTGCTGCTGCTGCTGCTGCTGCTCCTGCTGCTGCTGCTGCTGCTGCTGCGCCTGCAGCGGCGGCAGCAGCGGCCGCCGCGGCTGCCGCCGCTGCTGCGGCCTTCCCGCCGCCCCCTCCCGCCCCCAGCCCC